AAATATAACGGTATGGATGTGGGAAGCACTACTTAGGTGTACAGAAACTTGTAGATAGGAAATATACCCTAAGGTTCTGACATGGCTCTCCTATACTTGTCTAAGTAGTTCCTTACTCTTGACACACCTGCTTAAACCTGTGTTAGCTGGGCATGCAGTATCTGTATTCTACACGCCCACATAACTTTAGATCCACCCTATCACATGACATTCAGTAGTTGTGAATAGTACATGAACAAAGAGTGTACATCATAGCTTGCGTTATTAGCCTTATTTTACAGATCTGAGAACTGATGTAGACAATTTAAGGGAGTCAGTATCAAAGCTCAGTTTAGAGCTCAGAAGTTCTTGGTTCTTGGTCTGCTGTTCAGACAACTATGCAACATGAGGACACTTTACCATTCTGTTATAAGGTTACGTCTAAACTGGCAGCTTCTTGCACAAGAACTCTTTTGCGGAAGAGTTCTTGTACAAAACGTCTTCCACAAGAGTGTGTCTACACTGGCATATGCTTTTGCGCAAGAGATGTGCTTTTGCGCAAGAGCATCCATGGCACTGTAGATGCTCTCTTGCGCAAGAAAGCTCTGGTGGCCATGCAAGAACCACAGGTCCGATGATGCTTACCCAAGGGGGGAAAGACAGAACCAGGTGGACGGTTTTAGTAAATAAAAGATATTTATTTATAACAGTGATGAATTTATAGTATTTACTCTTAAGATTTTTAATAGACAGTGTTAATAATGAATTTACAGTATATATTATATTTTACGATTCCTAGTTAAATGTGTCAGAGATATAAGGATGGGAATGGCAAGGGGAATAGTCTCTATTCTAAAAATATCCAGCTACACTAATTAAATAACAGTGATAACTACAAACTCTATGTACTACCCAAAACAAATACAACATTAAGCTTATACAACGAAGAAAATCAAATCACACATACCAACTTACACAGCACATGGAACATTTCAAAGATATCGGTTTGGTTGCGAAGGCCTTGATTACACCCGAGAGTCGGGGGAGGTGGCTGGTCGGTTGATCAGGCCGGCAGCGCTTTGGAGTATACGGGAAGGCACATGCATGGTGGTACGTGTGTTGCAAAGACCTCCTTGAGCAAACTATGCAATGGGTATTTATCCTCAAATCTGCACATGGCTTTCCCGCGCTTGCATATTACCATATATGGCCCAACGGTCACCAAGTAGGGGTCTGTGTCCCAGGGGTTGGGCCGAAACTGTGCAGGGTTCATGTGACCAGGTAAGCCCCGCAGATCTCAAGCCAAGGTGATGGGTGGGAGAGTCTGAGGCTATTTTCCCCTTTTCACACCTTCCCTTTTTCTAAAGGCAATGGTATGCAGGAAGGGTTCAGCCGGTTTCTCCCAAGGAGTTCTGCAGCCCACTATAGCCAAACATTATTACCGGGGGAGCAGTTTTTTTTCTAACAGCCATTTTAACCATAGGGGCTTCTTGCGCAAGAAATTCATGTTGCCTGTCTACACTGGCCTCTTCTGGAAGAGCTCTTGCGCAAGAAGGCGTCTTCCTGAGAGGGAAGCGTCAGAGTTCTCATGCAAGAAGCCCTGATTTTCTACAGTACAGCGTCAGTTTTCTTGCGCAAGAATGCATGGCCAGTGTAGACAGGTGGCATGTTTTTGCACAAGAGTGGCCATTTTTGCACAAGAACACACCAGTGTAGACACAGCCTTAGATATTATTTTATAGTTCTAGCTAGTGCAGGATGCAGAACAGACATATTAAAATCAGGGCTCCTCTTTGAAATAGTAAACAGCATGTTTCACAGCACACCAAAGAAACGGAGTTTTCTTCAAAGTAACTCAAGCCTTTAACAATTCAAACCTACTCTATTGTGGACTTGTGTACATCATAAACCTAACATTCACAAATGTGATATTTTGGCAATCTTTACTCAACAAAGCGCAGGCTGTTACTAGCAGAAACAACTCCCTAAGGGGGGCAGGGAAGCTGGCAGAAGCTGGTTCTGTGGTTTGTAGTATTTTGCAGTCTCTGCTACTCTGCCTGAACCTACCTACAAAGGTGTTATAGCTCAGTCTTGTTCCTATTGAAATAAATTGGAGTTTTGCTATTGACTTCAATGGGAGCACAAGCAGATTATATGTGCTGGAATGCAGGTGTGATATTTTGAAATTCACAATATATCATACTGGTTTTGCTTTATTTTAAAGTGGCACATGTATATGACACTCTTGCCTTTCTACAATGAGATTTCACTATTACACATATTGATTTTTCAACATTTCCTAAAACTACTGAGCTATGGACTCTTTTGTAAATTTTCTCAGCATATCACCTGTATCCATTTAGTGAACTGTGCTAAAAATGTTGTTGGTACAGGCAGTCCCCGACTTACGCGGATCCGATTTATGTCGGATCCGCACTTACGAACAGGGCTTTTCTCGCCCCGGAGCTCGCGGGCGGCGGGACCGCCCAGAGTGCAGCGGTCCCGCCACCGCATCCTCCGAGGCGAGTAAAGCTGCTCCGGGTCTCCCTGGTGGGCTGCGGGGGACTCCCTGTGCACAACAGTGA